CACCAGTACTCCATGGTCCACAGACACTCGTGTTTATTGTAGGTGCTTTTGGCCGTGAACAGGGGTCAGCATGAGTCACTCTGCCCAGTCTGCAGCTACACTTTGTTCTGACACCTGTCTATCATGGCCAGCATTCAGTTTTACAGAAATGTGTGCTGCAGTACTAACCACTGCAGACCAGGAACACCCAACAAGACCTGTTGTGTCAGAGATGCTCTGACCTAGTTGTCCAGCCATCACAGTTTGACCTTTATCACTCAGATCCTTAAACTTGCCTGTTTTTCTTTCTTCCAACACATTAACTTCAAGAACTGACCATTCACTTGCTGCCTAATATAACCCACCCATAAATAGGTGCAACTGTAATGAGATGATCAGTGTCATTCACTTCCCCTGCCAGTGGTTTCATTTTGTGGCTGACCAGTGTCTTGATATCAGTAGCAGTAGCCTAAACATTGTTATTAAGAGGAATCTTGAATAATTCATAATAAATACTATTTTCTCACACAGCACCTTTCTAAATCAAATATCACAAATTGCAACACATATTTAGGCATCACAAGCTGTGATGTCTAAATATTAGCTTAAATTGGATTTGTAAATTATGGCAAAGTTAACCCTTTCTATGGCTGTGTGACTTAGAGAAATCTGTTAAATGAAAGAAAAAAGAAGGGAAAGTCTTGGAGTTAATTAATCGTCTTTGACCTCAGCTTAATTAAAGTTTCCCAGTGTTTGTAGTTAACGGGTGGATTGATGGAACAATGGTACAAATGCCCCCCGCTGCCTCCACAGTGAAGCCACAGAGAGCCAGTGATTTACACACACACATTAACTCAGACACCTCCATATTCTCTTTACACGCACAAGCTTATACAGTGTGTTTGTATGCACACAAAGAGACATATGCATGAAAACACACATACATACATAACTGCACACAGTGACAGCAGAGTCCCCTTTAAACTTTCCAGTCACAGATACCCATTACTCTCAGTGAGGGTTTCACATTAATTAGCTGGGATCAAAAGCTACAAATCACTCTACTGAGAGTTCAGCAGTATTGCTAAACTGTGTCTCTATCATCTATGTGACATCCTCTGACTAACACACACACACACACACACACACACACACACAGTGAGCATGGCTGCATAAATCTGCAGGGGAGCCTCACATTCGCACTCTTAATATACGTATTGTGGCATGTTAGCAAACAGCTGCCTGGTTACACAGAGCAAATCAACATTCAGATTTTCTTTCTGGCAACTTAATGAATACAAGTTCAAGTGTTTTGGTTTCCACCAACCATTGAAAATCTGAACTGGATCTTGAGTGGCTAAATGCTCCACTATGTTCACCAGCTATAGTCACTACCATCCGTCTGCACTTTGGTGCTTGGCACATAGCATACAGTAGAGTTTTAGGACTTTTTTTTTTGCTGCTGCTGGAAGTGATGAAAGCATTGTGAGTGAGTGAAAACAGTAAAGTAACAAGCTAAAAACTAAAACAGTGAGCTGAAAGTCATTAAATCATTCAGTAAAGCTGAGGGGACCTGCATGGATTTGACATTGCAAGTCACCCATTTTATATTTTGCCAAAAATCAGTTTCTAGAATATCTGCAATTGAGTTAATATTGTCAGTGACTGGGGGGAAAGCAACAAGGAAAAACTAACCTGCAAAACTAGGTGGAGACTATTGTCAGAATGCTTTAGTATTATACATTATAATAAAACATATTATTACAGATCTATTATATGATAAAGTGTCTTAACATTTACCAGAGCTACTTTATTCATATAGTCTTTATTAGACTTTCTGCAGGCCTTTGCTCTGGAACAGAATAAAAGTAGCATGGCAGTGAGAGAGACAGCCATGAAATTGGCTTCATAATCTTAAAAAAAAGCTACTCCATAGCTCATGAGTGAAATAATTTCTGAACAGACTTCTGAAGAACACTTCTCAGCGGTCTTTCAACCAACATCCTGAATTCTATGCAAAGGAACATCCTGAAGTCTTTTAAATTGCTATTTTAAATCAGGCGTTCTGTAATTTTGCAGACATTTAACGCTTCTCATCACTATTACTTGGTGGCATACATGACTGCCAGAACTGCTCATTAAAACGGTTGATTATTTTAAAGAGGTGATGCAATCCAGAGTAACCTCGTCACCTGGTTTGTTGTCAGTTTCACACGTGGAAGAGAGCGCCCTCTGCTGGACAAGTGATGCATTTACATGAACTGTATTCTGGTCAACAAGTACATTTTTGACTTTAAGGTGAAATACAGTATGCTGTACCTGAAGAAGAAGAAGACATTCAAGTTGACACAACAGCCAAAGACAAAGAGAAACTTAAACTTTTTGACAGATTTATTGACATGTGTATAGTGATTGTCTGTGCACCGGACGATTACAGAGGAATGATATAAAGTAATACAAAATAGCTGTACAAAACATGTTTTTAAAGGAATGCATTATTAACTGTGAGGTTTTTGCACTGTATAATATGTGTCAGCTACTCACTCACCTATAATAAGATGAGTTCATAAGTTGAGGTTTTGCCATCTGGAAAGAAGGTGAATGAAAACACGTAAAAACAAACCAGTTAGTGAAGAGCTACGGGTGTTACCTGATGCCATACTAAAATAGATGTTATATCTGAATTTCCACCAATACTAAAGTCTAACAACAAAGAAAAGGAATTTGCACATGAACACCTATAAACAGTAGAATGAAGTCAAGGGTGAGAAATTAAAAGAAAAAAAAAAAACTACAATAAATATGCCAGGTCATAACCTAGAAGCCAATGAGGGTGCTGCAACGATTCTTCCATTCACATGCCAATGGAGTTACATTAACTGTTGCATATAAGATCTTCAGAAGCAGGAGTCACTCGACTTGGCGTGCTTAGTAAAGGGCAGCTGAATGGGATGATTTCATAGCCTGTTTGTGCCTGCTCCCCTTACAGCAGCACCCATATGTGGCTAATCCTAGACCTGTGGTGATCTACCCTACTGTATGCACAACTTCTATATTTGGCCAGAATTATTCTCACCTTTTCTATTTGTATGTGTTTTGCAGTTATGAAACAATTTGCCTGGTCAGCTGTGAATTTGAATTCACTAATCCTGAGCTGCAGAAATTAGCAACAACGTTAACTATCCACCATACTGGATACAAGGGGAACCTTGTCCCAGTATTCTGAAAACAGCAGGCTGACTTTCATTGGCTTTTAAATGTTGCATGAAAACTCTAAATATAATATGCAAATAAGTGATGTAGACATCTTTTTGCAGTATATAGGTTTGGTGGAAAATATTAGCATAGGAGTACAAAGTGAGATTTGATAGGTCTCATTCGCAAACATCACACATCTATCAAGTATGAGGATTTTTTTTTAGGCTCTCTCTGTGCTGCAAGCTAAGGACTCGGAAGACATGTTGGTCTGTGTCAAAGGCTCTCAGCATGAAGAACAGGTTGGCAATCCACCGTGCAAAGGTTCAGAGTAAGCGTAGTATACATACTGTATGTGTACGTTCAGCACATGCAAGCTAGACACAATTTCCATGTGAGTGTGTATTATCAATTATGCGTCTTCCATACTCAAGGCTCTTATTGAACTTATTTCAAGCTAGGTCACCAAGCTACGCCATAATATTTAGTTACAAAAATAGTATCACAATATAGACCATTCAATATGAGCACCAGAGAAGGCTAAATATAGCCTGAGTATTTGGCTACATTCATTGTCTGGGCAATGCTTTATGGTAGCAGTGTGTTTAGGTGTGTTTGTTCGACACAGTGTTGGCAATGTCTTCTCACTCACAGGCTCTCCTACGTCTACCACACGATAATATTTGAAAACATACACAATTTGCTTACACTGAGTAACAACCATTAACTAAAACCAATTATTAGGTAGAAAAATAGCTTTTTTTTTTTGTTTTAACACTGAACATCTAGAATTTCTCCCACAACCCGAAATAAATCCCTCCCCATTTTCTAACAAAATAGTTTTCTTTGAAACAAAAAAAAAGGTTATCTTTTGAGGTTATGCACGGTCAAACCATTTTGACAGTCCATCATACTAACATAAACCCTGTTTAGCATAATTCAGTAACCAGAAGTGTGTTCAAATTAACATAATGCAATGTGGGGTTTTTTTGTTGTGATGGCTGCTGTGTATCTCTGCAGCATTAACATGCAGATTTCTCTTAGTGTGGCTCTATGAAAAGACTATTTAAACAAATGTTATGATATTTAGACAACGATTCAGCTTTATAAATCTTAGTGCTTTGGTTACATCACATATACTTAAGATTATCTAAGATTAATCATTTGGGGAAAAAATTACATTGAATACGCCTCTGGTTGAGCTAACACTTGGCTAAACATAGCACATCTAGCTTATCTATGGAAGTACTATTATTGCTTTAGAGATTTATGAAGTGTAATTAACCAGTTTTATACCCAGCCCTTGTTTATCCTCTTGACTGCTTGATAATCGGAATGAGATCGGTCCTTATGCAGTATGTTGTGTTACCTCTGGTGCTTCAGTGCTAACCACAAAGTCAGCTGGGTTTCATTCCAATCTAATGCTACACAAGTGATCTCATTTATAGGGTCTGTCTGCATAGATGTCATACTAAAAGGATATGGGAAGAGAAAAGATGGAAACTGCATATACTTCAAAACATCCAGTGGTGTTTTATCTCACCTTCATGAAGTAAGATCTCCCCTGTTCACCTCCCACATTTACAGTAAGTAGGTAATACATCCTGCTGAGAACACAGCAATAACTATAAATCAGCCGGTCATTTAGGATGGAAAACAGGGATATCAGAATCTAAAGAGAAACTCAACTTGAAGCAGTTGAGCCTCAAAGTGCAGGCCGAGAAGTAGCTTTTTTTCAGAAGCGTTGTTACACTGAGTAAAGAACACAGACCTGCAACCAGAAGAAAAGGGCATTTCTTTCTTATGTGCAAAAAAAGGCAACCAGAAGAAAAGGGCATTTCTTTCATATGTGCAAAAGCTACTTGTCATTTCTTACAGTTTCTGAAAAAGGCAATTAAGTACTTGGGTGTGGATGTTTCTCATGACAGTCTAATTATTAGAAGGCCGCGTCGCTTGAGAATCGAGTCAAAATGACTGTTTGAGATAGGACAAGGAGAATCATTTAAGCTCTGGTGCTGCATCTGAGGATGTTTGATTATTACTTATTTTAATCACCTATCCTTTTGTTACCAATTAACAAGGACTGAAGGATAAACAAGGGGAAGGAATCATCAGCAGCCAGCTGCATTCAGTAACAGCGTTGGACAGTCTTCGTTGTACACTCAAAATGTGAGAGTAAAATACGCACTCTTTAATAACGGAAAAACTATGTTAAGCACTAATTGATTACCTTTCCATACCGATCAACGTTTGCAACATGAATGAAGCTCAGGCATTTTTCTGTTATTGTGCTAGTGATTGCTGTGTTGAAGTGTCTAGTCGATGGGGCCCTGGAAGATGAGCCGCGTCCAGCCAGGGGAGCTGAGGGCAGCGGAGCAGAAGGGGCAGACAGGTTTGAAGTCATGGGTCCCATGGGGCAGCGGGGTCTCGGCCCAGTATTTTGCTGTCTTCTCAGAGCAGACGTGGCCGCATGGCACAAAAGCATGAGTAGGAGCTCCAGCGTCCACGTACACAGCAGGCTCACAGCCCAGCCACAGGGGCACGTAGGGACCTACGCTCCTGCACAATGGACATTCTCGGCGGGCCATGGAGCCCTCGACCTCTGCTGGCTCCTCCTCTCCCTCAGACCTCTGGCCCCAGTCGTGGCGTCCATGGACATGGCCGCAGGTGAGGTAGACCCAGGGCTGACGTTCTTCAAGGCTGATGTAACACACCAACAGAGAGTCATTATTTTTGAGCTGTGTGTGATCTGTTGACTCAAGTCTATAAAAGAATTTGCTTCTAGGCACTTCTGAAGACAAAACAAAATGAATATCCTGACAGGAAATAATCAAGATAATTACTGTGCTCTCTACCTGTGGCTGCGTGGCAGGCTGGGGAAGGCCAGTGTGCTGAGGCCTACAGGACACTGGGGCCGGGATGCATTAAGCTCTTGCCGAAGCGCCTCTAGGTGACGCAGGGTGGGGGCACGCATGAGCCCTTCACCAGTACGCCACAGCAGGGTGGCACCACACAGGTCAACCAGGGAGCCGTCACGCAGTGCACTGCTCTCACCCTCAGCCTGGAGGAAGTGACACACAGAGACAGAAACAGGCTTACAATCAAACCAAAAATAAATTTCACAACCCTGAAGAGGCCAAAAACTAACATGCACCAGTTTGCCTCGGCTTGGTCCAGAACGTGTCTCTCGCAGGGCGTAGACATCACCGCAGACTGAGATTTCCCTCCACAGTCCCTGCCTGGGGTCCTCTGGGAAACCCACAGGGTGCATCACTAGCACGCCATTGGTGGTCAGGCCATCCATATGACCATCAGGGTTTTTCCATTTGGTTGCTTTCTCCTGTCACAGCACAGACATGAAGGAGCAAAGAACAGAAATCACCTAATTAAATTACAATATATACAAAAAAATGACAGTTTCAAGTTTCAGACCTTGGCTTGATCCTTGTTCATGAGGTTTATATGTATTTTAAAGTATTTCAATACTGATTCCAAAGATATACTTTTTGGTATATCAGCCTACTCACCCCTAGGAAGATATTTTTGGAAGAGTCAAAGCCTGCAGCGTAAATGCGTGCAGTGTACGGCGGGTTGCGTTCACAGACCACTCTGCAGGCAAACCGTGAGATGGTGCTAGGAGCAATGGAGGGGTCCTCCCCCTCCTTTCCACTTCCGGAGGTGTCTGTCACCACAAAGTCAATGGGACTTTCCGTGGAGCGTCCGATCTGCAGGAGGCAACACAGGTCAACATCTGCTGTGATTCATGGACAGTCGTTGGATACCATTTATTAAAACATGCTTGTTAGTCATACTGAAAATTGGTGTTGGTGTATAGTATATAGCTCCACTGTTATAGGGTTAGACATGATAATGGTGTTTAATACTGTGTGTGGTTCAGATAAAAGATCTTCTGGGGTAAGAAATTTCTGATATTATTATAAGAGCAGAACCCTGTGTATAAGAATAGATGTTCTTGGAGACTGTCCACACAACCCCTTATTCTTAATACTTAATGGCCCTAGTTCTGAACCCAAATAATGACAGCAGAAATTCCTTTGAGGACATTACATAATATCTTATTTTGGGAGAAACCTGCTATTGATCACAGATCTGGGATTACTGTTGTTGAAAAGCTGGCCATTATTTGAGGAGGATGAATGGCAAACTTGGCCCTGTTGTCTTGGCCTCCCTGGGGTATTACCTGGAACATGTCTGTGTTGTTGTCATGGCAGTACTCCACCACCACTGTCTGGTTACGGGACAGAGTGAAAGAGATGCTGTGCTGCCCCCTGCTGTGCACAGCCTGCAACGACAGCAGCAATAAGCAAGATGAGTTGATGCACTCACCTTGTAGAGCTGTCTTTCATTTTCCTGACAATCAATACACTTGACGAAAGCATGTTGTTACTCAAAAGGCATTAAATGTATCTACATTCATAACTGTAGAAGAAAATAATGAAATATCATGTGTGACGGTAGAATCTGATAATGACCGTGTGATGATAATCTTTTTTTTTTCCATCATGTTACATCCATGTATAGGCAGACACACACACACACACACACACACACACACGTCAGCCTTTATGCTTAGTCATCCTTTATGCTTAGTCATCCTTCCTCTGGCCTGTTGATGAATGGCAACAGGGAGTCACAGGAAGGAAGTGAATGTTACACACTGATAAAACCTGCACACACACACACGTACCTTGCTGTCCTGTGGCGTGTTGAGGATGTGCACAGCACTGGGCTTGACACCGTTGGCCTTGGCCCTTCGGTACAGAGCAAAGCGGCTCTTTCTGCGCCCACGGTCTCCACTTGGAAGAGAGCCATTGTACCTGTGGAGATATAAACATAAATAAAAAGGAAATAAGAACAAGAAAACAGAGGCATTATACTCGACTAACAGAAATTAGACTAGAATGCAAGATGACATCATGTACACAAGTTCATTCCAGCTCATCTCACTTTACTTGAGAAAGTGTAATGATGGGGAAAACAGTTATTTTGTTTGCATACTGTATTCATGATCTGTCCTCATTTGTCTTAAAACTAAAGCTATAAATATAAATGCCACTCAGGCTACCAAGATGTCTGTAGAAATAACAGCTTTACCGCTGTATCATCAGACATTCTTTTGAAATGAATTAAAGCATCACAGGCAGGTCACTCGTGACTCAGATTAAACAGCCAAACCTTAATGGAAAGACAACTACCACTTCCTCTCACTCACTCAGCCTGAAGAGGAGCTCATTCTCCACCTAACCTCTTTTGTGCAGGAGCAGGGTGCACATGTGATGTTTCAGATCTATGGCGCATGCATGAATATGCCGATCACCAGTCTTTCTTTTGTGGATATGAGAAGTGTAATCGATGTACAAAATATAATCTCGATAAATCTAAATAAAATCTCGAAAAAATACCACGACAGAGAATTAACACAGAAGCCCATCCATTTCTGACCTGAACAAAACAGAAAAAATAAGTGAAAACTGCAGATCATTGCAAAACATTAGCCAATATTTAGCAGTAGTACAAACATGTACACTAAATTGATTTTGCTGTTTACATTTCTAAGTGTGTTGCTAAGGGAAACTTGTTAACATTATTTATCTTTAATAAGCTACACTTCTATGACTCTCAGGACCAAAATTCATTTTCTGTGGGAAACAATCCTATGGCCAAAGCAGGGCAGGCTGTTAGCAGGATGTTCAAGAGAGAATCCACTACGTTTCCTGAAAAAACCTTCAAACAGACCATATTAACTTGTGACCAAAGGTGGGGGTTGGATTTTTTGCTGGCTTTTGTTGATTGGTTTGCTTGTTTGTTAACAGCATAACTCTTTGATTAACTCTTTTGGAGAGGCAGAGTGGGGCTCACGGAACAATTGATTAGATTTTGGTGCTGATCCGTATCATAATTTGGATATTGGAATACTTAACCGTTGTGAATGGAGGAAAGGCCGTTGACTATATCTGAGCCCCCTTGTGGCCAAAGTGTGCGGTTGCACTGCTGAGCACTTCAAGCACATACACAGCTGGACAAAGATCTACTCTGTTCAGTGACAGTAGGGTGAGGGCCTGATGGCAGAGATTTAAAGCCATTACTCAGAGCTGTTAACATTTTCATCCGTAGGAAAAGTAATGCCAATTTAGAAATGTCTTCCAATGTTTTTGGAGATGTGAGTACTCGTTATCTGACCCAGCTAGCTTTATTAGCAGACATCTTGTTCAGAGAACAGTAGTCTGTGGGCGAGGACGCTGGTGTTCCAGCTGTACATTATAGCTGCATTGCCATTGTTTGAACCTAACGAGAGATACACCCCATGCTTTTCCTTAACTGTCACCCAGTATAACCTCACAGGTCGGTGCAGACTGCCCTACTTTGCTTTTCCACTGTATTTTTCCACGTCAGTCTCTGTTTAGAGGAGGAGGGGCTGCGCTTTTATGGAATTATGGAGAAACAGAGTTGCCCCTTGGTGGAGGTATGCAGTCTCTGAGTACTGTCTAGATTAAAAAGCACAGAAAACACCTCAGTGCTACCTGTTCCCTCCATGGCCCTGCCTGTCAAACTTCAAACTGAACCCCAACTGACAAGATGAGGACTGGGTCAGCAAAAAAGATGCAAAGTACAGAGCTTTGAGGGTTTGGTTAAAAGGTAGAAGATATGATGATAATGGGGCACATGAGACAAAATCATCTTAGAGAGAGAGAGAGAGATAAATGTTAGCCAGCATCTTGATAGAACCATGGAGAGAAAGCAGTCAGAAGCCATCATGAGTACTAGAAACAGAAAACTATATGAATGAAACAAAGGGCAAGGACAGGAAATGGAGAGAAAGGGCTGGAATAGACTAGGCAAAGCAAAGGCCAGTGGAAGAGCAGTTCCATGACGTACGAACTGCTGGGCAGTCCTGGCTTGCATCACACATATCCATGCATCATCAAGCATAATATGAAATATTCAATCCATCTGCACCCGGCAGGGTTTATTTTCATTGAGGGCAAGTAACCAGTGAGGCCTGCCTCTGGGAAAGTCAGCACTCAGCAAAACACTAAAAGGCTGGCAGAGAAGTGACAGGGTGCAAGACGGAGGAATGCGCCAGAGAGAGGTTTAAGAGGGGTTAGGGGAGAGATTAAAAGGTGTGGATGAGATAAAGAGAGAGGAGTGAAGGGTGTTTGCATAGTGAGGGGAGTGTGTTATGAGGGAGAAGTTAGATGAGCTATAATGGACCGCTGGACAGGGCAGCACTGTACTGTACATGGTGTCCAGGCTAACTAAGGTAATGAGTGATGGCAGCCACTGCAAAGACTACATGGCCCGTTGTGAATTGACCACACAGGACATATGATCATCCAGGCTGACAAATGCAAAGTCAAACCACACTTGCACAAAATAAACCAGGAAAATATGCCATCTGACAGGAAGCATAGAACAAAAAGTGGGTTTTGACACCAGGTATCTGCTGTCAGAGTTTCCTGCTGTTTGTATGATGACAAATAATCACCTTTTTATTGGCCAAGTATGTTATACAAAAAGAGTTTGTTTCCGGCACAGAACCGGTGGCAGCCATCTGCGGCGCCACCTCAACCGACGGCTCTAACCATCGGGGGTAAATGGGGGGATTCAGGGACACTTTGACACGTGGACTGCCAGCACTGAGATTCGAACCTTCAACCTTCTGGTTGGGAGACGACTGCTCTATCCACCGTACCACTGTCGCCCCCCCTAAACGAACAGGCTGTGTACCTGAGTCATACTAGGTCGCACTAATATGGAGATGGAATAAACTATCTAATAATATTAACTAGTTAAGTGTATTAATAGTGTATCGTCTACCACTACAAAAAGAGTTGACGGTTTTAGCATATTGTAAATCGTGTTACACAACAGTTTTTCATTGCAGCAATATCTATTTTTCCTATATCACCTGGTTCAAAACCACAGACAAGATACCTATACCTTTGGCCATCACTCTTGACAGGGCAAGATCACACCAAACTTCAGGCATATTAAGTGTAGTTGTGCACACCATGGAGGATGCTTGTGTGTAAGCTGCAGAGCTAAAACACGCTTTAAATGATCATTTCCTTCTTCTAATCTGAAGACTGCTCTGTTCAAAGAGTCAGGTGACAAGGGGGGCAACTAATCTGTATTCTGATACAAACAGGCTATGGCCTCCTCACTCCATGTTCAGCCAGAGGGGAAGAGATAGGCTATTAGGTCAGTTATCTTTGGCATACACAGGAAGCTCTGCAGGGCAAGAGGGAGGTCTGTATAAGCCTGGATATGACTGGGTATGAGTGTGTGTTGTGGCATTTCTGATCCCTGCAGACCCTGCACAGTGTGGAGCTGTAGGGGTGGAAATGCTGTGGAAGCTGGCAGCTGACATCAGTACATCCTGTCTACTGTGCAGCTGGTGATGTACAGGGGCTTTTCTCCTCCTCCTTCCTGGGATATTTATTTGGCCGTCATTGTATTAATTAGTAATAACTGACGAAAGAGGCTTTGACTAAATATTATGAGCAAGAGGCATGTATTTTTCAGACAATGATATCATCCCGAGTCCTACTTTTAGCGATCACAGATCCACCATAGTATGACATCACTGGGATTTTCAGCCCGAGCAATCCAGTGCTGCCTACCGACACTGCAACCATTGATGAAAAAGCGGCTATCCGTAGTAGCTCTATGTAATATGGCTACAGCAGATGTTGCACCTTTGACACTCAAACACACCACGTAGGATGCCAAGACAATACGGTGGCATAGTTGCAGAGAACATGCTTTTATTTGGATCATGAAGTTAGTTTGTAATATTACTACACAGCCATAGACTACGAGTACACCACGGCAGTAAATGAAAGCTTTGCTGAACGCCTTACTATCATGGATTGCCTATGTTAATAATGAAAAAAGGACCATACGAGGAATAAATGTCACAAGAGCAGTCAATTAAACCAGTACTCACACGTCATCTGTTGGTTTATTGTCCCGATGGTGCCGCTACACATTTAATTTGCAGCTGGAGCGTTTCTCCATCTTACACAAATTTACTATCGCTTTAGGATTTAAGAGACTTACCCCAAAACGACAAGTTCCCCGTATTTTACCGGGTCTTTAACGGGAACATCATCATCCCCGTCTTTTTTCGGCGAATTCATCAGACTGGACTGCTCCAGAAGAGAAAAAAAACCCGTCCAATGGCAACAGTGGTAAGATAAAAACAATGCTAACACACTCGAAACTGTAGGGAAGTGATTTGTGTTGTAGTTTATTAAAGTTTGGCCATAGTTGGGCAAAGTTCTGGCAGACTTCTTGCTGATTGTTTTATTGATTTAATCCCGTTACGGAGCATCTTTCCGTCTTTAGTGCCAGTGTGTAGCTAGTTTGTATCGCGACAAAAATGTTCAGCGTAGGATACAACAACGGCTAACGGCAGGGAGTGGCGCGTACCATATTCCGTGGGTGGGGGGGTTCGAAACATTTCTTAAAATAGTTGACAGATTGGCTTTTGCAAGGATTGACAGGTGCTTTTCGGTGTTTTAATTATGAATGCACGCTGTAAGAGCGATTCGGTGAAAAAAACATTTTCACTGTTAAATATGCAGTGGCACTTATACACAGACCCTCCTATGGAACAAGAATGGATGTAGCCATGATGAGAAGCTGGCTCTCATAGAGTAAAATGAGACATCTCGAAATACAGAGGAAGTGCCCACGTTCCCTGGCATGTGGAGGAACATTTAAGGCAATAGACTGGATCATTTGATTTTACGTACGTAAAAGATTGTAAAGCTCTGATGCCGTGGGTCATTATGGAGTCTGACGTAATGAAATGCGTCCCGGGGTGTGGTGTAGTTTAGGATGTGGGTCACCAAAAAGTAGTTCATACTGCTTTGTAAAAAAAATATAAAAATGACATTGTGCATGTGATACAAAGCTATAACATAATAAAAGAAAACTCACGTATGTGTGTGTGTGTATACCTTGACCACTGGTCTAAGTGGAACTGTCTTTTACTATTTCTCATAAAAGTAGTACTTCTCGTTTATACAACACACAAGCAGTTTCTCAAAGTTCCTATCAAAAAAGTAGTTAGGGTAGAGAAGCAATGGCAAGTTAAACACTACAAATATAATTCTTTTTCTTTTGCTACCTCTATCCTCAAGGACCCCACCCACCCCCAGCACAGACTGTTTATACCCCTACCCTCCGATTGGAGGCTCAGAAGTGTGAAATGCAGGACCTCTAGACTGAAAAAGTCTTTCTTTCTGACTGCCGTCAGACAGCTGACTCAGGATCTACCTCATGTAATTCCACCTGTACTGTTTACATACTCAGTTTGCATATGCATAATTGCACACTCACTGCTGAATATTTGCACTTCACGGCTCCCACATAGCATATATTCTCTCTACATTAAATTGTGTTCTTCTTGTATTTTTATTGTGCATCGTTCACTTGCTGCTGTAAAGTGCCTTAGATTTGTGTTATTGCTCATCTACTTTATATTTCACTTGTATTATGTGGCATTCATGTGGACGGCAAAGCAAGAATTTCATTGAACAGGGAAACACATTTCCTAACTATGCATATGACAAATAAACACTTTGACCTTTGACCTTGACCTTTGTGGCCCAAAATCATTTGTAGTTGCAATAGTTAATTGTAAATGTAATTCAACTACTTAAGCCACTACACAAATATGAATGTAGCTGCACTACTATCAAGTTACAAGTAAAATGTAATTAAACTAGTAGTTTAATTACATGTAGTGCACTGCTCCCCACCACTGCTAACTTATACGGCTGTGACCACACGAGGGCAGTGCACTTCAGTTGCAAATTACAACTTTTCAGTCTGAAATTATTCAAGTTAACATTAATTTGTATATACCCATCAGCTCTGCAGTAGCCTTCACTGGACCATTAATACCCACTGTATTCCACCATGTGTGTTTTTGTTGAGGTAATGCTTGGGATTTTAATGTTTCGATTAGAATAAGAATGGGGTGAAGGCCTGCAGTGTAGTTCAGGCACAGCTGCTTTGTCACACGGGCTACTTGTCACATTTCCCTCCAGCATCCTGGTTGCTGGTCATTGTTATTTAATAAGACAGAAAGCAAAACCTTTACTGGAGGCTTTGGGGTGTCCGTAAGATAATCTGTTTAGTCTCTATGGTGGCATGCCTGTCTTCATCTGCAACATTAGCCAACTTCTTGTCCTGGCAGGCGGTGTAACATGTAGTGGCTTGTATGTCAGTTAACACCGAGAGGCGCCATGTAGTATTCTGCTTAACTGTGCAGTGTTTGGTGATGTCAGCCCTTACTATCGGATATGCCTGTGTCATTAAAACATTTCTCTGTGCAAATGTACAGATGTTAACTTGGGTATGATTACAGTTTCCAAATGGAAATGATTGCGCTGTCACTCACTCACTCGTTAGCTAAATTGCTGCAACTGCAGACACTTATGATGATATTGAAAGAGGCAATGACTCATGAATGAGCTTCAGCATAAACCAAACCAAAGAACCACACCCTTGTTAGTCCACTGTAGTCACAGAGTAACTAATCAACCCACTGGAGTGCTGACTCACCTCATAAGGACATACAGTAGTACACAAGATTCACTTCTGACCTGCTTCACTTCTGAAATACAAAGTAGAAACTGGATAGACCAGATTTGAGTGTAGATTTCTTTCTTTCCTAATCTGGGATTAAGGTCACACCCTCTTCACTCTGTGTCTCTCAATCCCCCTCTCTCCATCCTCCACATTTTGTCTTTCTCTTGCCTCCACTCTCTTGATCTGGCTGTTCCTGTTTGGCTGAATTTCCGTATTAAACTAGAAAATATGTTTGGCCTACCATTAATAAAGTGTCTTTTCACTCACAATGTCGCCGTACTGCCACAAACAGGGAATGGGACTGTCATGTGGTCTGTCATCTAGAACACCTCACAGTTAAAGTATTAAGATGATGTAATTAATAAAACACAAATGAGACATGACAGTTTTGATTGACAGCCTCTTTGTTCTATGAAGGCTGAGTAAATCACAGTGTGAAATCTCAGCTGACTAGTGGCACAGGCTGCGTTCAGAAGTGTTTATAGTCACAGTTCACAAAGTGTACAAATTACTGTACTGTAGATCAGCTCAGCGAGCGAGCAGTATATACTGTACAATCTCACTTTATGGCTGTTTGCTTTGACTTTTCTGTCACCGTTATGAAAAATAGGAATCTAACCAGTCAAACTGGAAAGGAATTTGTATTCTCTCACTGTCTGTACCACAGTGTGTAGCAACAAACAACCTTGATGCTTCACACAAGTTATCTAGAAACCATATTTGGTAGGTAAATCACAGATCAGATTGTATGGCTAATTGTGCACATGTGGAATGCATTACCTCTGTTATCATCATGCAACTTCTGGCCGGTTGTATTTCAAGACATGCAAAACATAACACATTGGGTGGTCATTCATATTTTTAAGGTGGATGGTCATGTAGAAGACACAAATAAGGACAGTTTTGGAGTGATTTGACTAAAGTTCTAAAAACAAAAACAGTGGATAAATCTCTTTTCAAACACACATGATGTACACATGACAAACTTGCATGATGCTTTGGTATTTTCATGATGAATTTGACTCTGAATTGTTTCCAAGATTTGTTCCTTGAATGTCAGTGTATCAGTGAAAATTATCTGGGCCCACTTCCTCAGTCTGGATTTAGTCGATGCTGATATAAAAGATGAAAGCATATTTGGTAGAAGAATGGTAAGTAAGGGACGAGAGTCAAGCCAGTCAGTTTAGACCATTTAGATGTGGTATAGCCATCTGCTGCGGAGTCTTTGTCAATGTTACCATAGAGACAAGAGCAAACAACAAAAAGGTATTCCTGTCTCCTGTTTGCAGTTAAAGCCTAGATGGACTGCTAAAGCAGAACATAAGACTTTAGTCAGAATGCATACCAAACAGAGCAGCGACAGTTATTCAGCCACTACAATACAAAGAATCGAGTAATGATATAACCTCCTATTATTAACCTTGCATTATTGTGGGCTCTTGCAAGAGCATGTGGTCATACTTGTAACAAAAAGACAGTGTCCTACCTGTGATCCTTGAGTGCACACATGCCTGCTGGGTGCCTTGCTTGTGTGTGTATGAGACACCACACTCCCTCTACTTGATGAGGAGGCTGTCGCCTGCACAGATCAGGCATGATACTGCAGATGGCTCAGCATATTCTCATCTGCTATGAGCACTTGGACACAACAGGCTCCACTAGTGATTCTGGCCCCCTACGGTGGAGACTAATTGCATACACAAGTAGGTTTGTTGCACAACATTGAAAATGAATGACATTTTACACTGTCAATTGATTGTATATACTGGACATGTCAGTCAATAATACACAAGTAAATGTGCCAAAGAATGGGAGAGTATTCATATGGAAACTCAGTATATGGGTTACCAATTATTTGGCCCCAAAGAAGGGTTTGTCAGGCCATGTTGTCATAAATCATCAGAGATTTTATATGTTACATGCATATACAGATAGTATTCCAATATTTTTGAGAAGTTCATAGCATTTTATTGAGCAAGATAAAAAAAAAATAATGTGAGGAGATAAGGAAGTCCTCTGGCAGCCGCATAGAAGCATCTCTGAGCCACAGTCAAAAATAAACAGACCAAATAAACTTGTTCCACATATGACAAGACTAACCTTTGTAGTAAGCTGGCTAAACAATACACTTTATGTATTTCAGCTTGAACGAATAAATGTAATACTTCCAAAGAGAAAAATCATGACCTAACTGAGAAAGCACCGTGGAACACAGGAATCATCGTCCCAGCATGGGTACTCTACATTGTGAGGTCTTTTACTAGCACAGCTTAAACACCAACAAGTGAGCCGAGACAATCACTTTTAGCACACTGAGTCCTTTCACAAGTCATTGAGCTTCACAGAGCACCTGGCAGCGACCTGCCATACATGTACATGACCTGAGCGCATGGACTACACACACAGTTGCTGGCGAGTGCTTTACACAGAAGCAGATTGCCCTTCAGTCAGGTGAAAATAAGAGCAAATAGAGAAGCTGTATGTGCTGGGTTATTTTTGGATTTAGTGTTGTTACTTAGTGATGAACGTTGCATTAATGGAAATTTCTCTGTTTGCATAAGTGGCAGATTGTCAGCAGGCACCAGAGAGAGACTGACATTTAGAGTAATTTGTTTCTTGTTCAGCATAGCTCAGCAGACCTATTAATAATTATACAATATGGGAATGTTAGCCTTTAACCTGGGTTCAACAAGGTTTGTCACCACAACCTTTAAAGAGTGTGTTGGAAACACTTGTTGGTTTTATCACTACTCAAAATGAGTAGGGAGTTGACTGGGAAGTAAAATGATATAGAAATATTGATTTCACTCTTCTTATCTAAACACACTTGGTTTCAGGATCCTAATTGTACAGTACTA